CACACACACACACACACACACACACACACACACACACACACACACACTCTCCCACCCGCCACACAGCATTTAGCTGTGCCCTATTTTCATATCCTCAATTAGGGACTCACAATTCACACTTGAATTATTAAAGGTTATCATATCTGGGCTTGTTTCCAATTAAAATGAAAAATATTTGAGATTAAAAAAAAAAACCACGTTTTTAACACCTAAACCTCCCATCTAGCATGTTCATCAATCCCTAATAAATAAATGTCTGGGCAACTTGTCAGTCCCGAGTAACTTGGGTGAACAGTGGCAGGCATGGGTAGTGTAGGAGAAAATAGGGCTCCTTTGCTAAAAAGTCATCTTCCCCATCTCTGTCAGCTAAAAGAGCTGCCAAACGGCTTCTAACACAGTGCTCGAGAAGCTGTCCATTCACTGGCCTTTTCTAGGCATGGTCTGGGCACACATCACTTCAAGTACAGACTGCTTTTGTCTTCATCTGTTTTATTATGTCCAAACAAAAGCCCACAGACTTTTTGCCCTTTACCAAATGAAAACTTCTACAAGAGAAACTGACCTCCAAGCCCCATCATTGTTAAGATGCCTGAAAACGTTCCTCCATAGCTAGAAGTCATTGAACACCATTCCATATCGCTACCTTGGTGTTAGGGGGTACCGTGCTTGAGATTCCAGGGGTGCCCCACGTTTGAAAGCAACTCTTGGTTTAGTATGAACGCTGGTCCAGTACGTGCTTGGCCAGACTGCATGGCCAGGCCATGACCAGTTCAGAATGGGATCCCGTTAGCTGTGTCTCTACCAAGCTTCTTGGCCTGAGGAGGACGTGATGCTCAGCCCTTCGTACATAGCCAGGGCTGTTTCAGATGTCCTGGGCTCTGGATCATAAAGCTAGTGGCACGCACATCTGCCCACCGCTACGCCAGCCACCTCCATTATCGCCCCACCACAAAGCTGGGCTGTTCCTCTTCTTGACTGTCACTGGACGCAGGCTCTTGAGAACAGTCAGAGCCTGTCAACAGGACAAAATGACGCTGTAAGTACATCAGTGCTAGAATGGCATCTCAAGTACCTTGGGGAAAAAAATAAAGGGGCTCAAGTTCAAAAGTTCATGTCAATGACCAGGCAAAACCAAGAAGCTACAGAAAGCAGACGCCATCCTCAGTGCAATGTGACCTTGACAAGGTGCCTATTCCATGCCAGACACCAGGCCTGGAGCTTGGGACACAGTAAAGAACAGGCCCCACTTAAAGGTTACATGATGTACCGTGAAGGAAGGTGAAGGAAGCCTCATTGGGCATGTGAGTGCACAGGGCCTGGCAGAGCAGGCCCTTAATCAATGTTTGCTGACTGACTGACTGACTGACTGGAAGAGAGGTCCAGGTCAAGTGCTATGAGGTAACAGAAAGGGCTCTTTCCTATCTCAGGAGGTGAATGGTGGATGTCTGGCAAGGCCTCATGGAGGTAATGGCCAAACTGAGCTGGGCTTTCAGATATTCAGATCTTCAAATGATGGAGATCTGGGAGTGGGGAGAACAGAGGGGGACATAGTGCGAATCCACTGAGGGCACTATCACAAAAATGCTGTAAAACACTATGCCCTCCAATTCTGCAAGAAGCCAGCATAACAGATAGAGCCCTATGGGCTACTCTTTACAACTGGCAAGCCCTAATTAAATGATGCCCGAGAACCTGCACCCTCCAGTCTGGGGATCCCTCAGCATCTGTCCCAGCCTGTCAGAACCCTCTGGAGCTCTCCAGATGCTCTGATTAAGTAGAAGAACGCTCTATCTGTCCACCATAACCTCATCATTGGAGACGAGCCTGGGGTAAATAGAACACTTTTTACAAAATGGAAAGTAATAAGTCTGAAGGAAAAAGGAGAGAAGAAAACAAGGCCGCTCAAAGCTCAGGATACAAAAACACACATACAACAGTTTGTGATTGAACCCTATCTCCCTTCTTTCCTGGTTGTTTCTCCTCTTTTTTCCACCACCTTCCCAAAGGGAAGGGCTGCCCACTCTGATTACACCCCTTCCCCCCTTAGAGAAGTGAACACCGAGCTTCTTTGTTCCAACTCTAGACACGCCAATGTACTAGAATCCAGAATCCAGCATCCATTCAGAGCAGAATTCATGTTCCCAAACTGATTTAATCAAGAGTCCTAGAATCAGAAGGGAGCTCAGAGACCATCCCCTCGGGCCCATCCCTAAACAGGCATCTTTCCTGGAGGCTCCTCACAAATGGCTCTGCAGCCTCTGCTGGAAGGCGAGGTCCCCCATCACCACCCAAGACAGTCTCGGATCTCAAACTCGCACCTGGCCTCTTCCATCCACGGCTTCTACTTCTCCTTTCTGGATCAAAGGCATCTTCTGTGGGATGACCTCCACATCCTTCCTGGAATACAGCCCTCACGGTCCCCCGGGCCTTCTCCTCCTACACTGGTGTCTGTCTGTACGCTGTATTTTCAGCTGGTTACTCTTCTCCGGAATTTAGTCTTGGACGACGGAGCCAGTATGGCACGATGGAAAGAGCACCAGAGCACCAGAGCACCGGGGCTGAGTCCCACGGGCCTTACTTGACTGACCTCACAGCTCCTGGTGGGTGAGGGATGAGCTTGTGACTCAAAATGGAAAATGGACCGGGCTAACAAAGGAATTTGTTTTGCTTGACTGCGCATATTTGTGCTAAGGACTTTGTTTTTCTTTTTTTCCCAAAAGGGGAGTGGAAGGAAGAGCCGGGAAGGAGACAAGATGCTAATTAATTGAAAAAAAGTTAAAACAAATAAAATTGCAGGATTGGAGAATAGGATCATTGGGGTGTTCAAACCTAAGATCCGAGGTATTTTGGAGTTTCCCAGTTTCCAGAGGGGCATAAAGCAGTTTTCAGAAGAACTGACATCTTTTAAATCAGGTCACACTGACTTTAGAAATGCTGCTCCCACCCACACAGGGCGCCAAGCTGATTTTCAGCAATCACAGGAAACATAATTTAAACCAACCCTGAGTCATTTATTACTGGCTTGATAACACTGAAGATTAAGTATAACTGATGCATGAAATGCCAACTATTCAAACTGCCCTTATCGGACACCAAACTGAACTGTAAATAGCCCCCCAAATGTGGCCTTCTTGTTTCCAATCTCAGACCCCTGGGCAGGGGCACCATGTGCAGAGGGAGGGATGGGAGATGCACCAACAGGGCAACATCGAGCTTCTTCACCCCCAGCAAGAGGTCAGTGAAGCAAGAGAACAGAACACAAAGACGGCTTGTGCCCTCTTGCTCCATCTTCAAAGAAAGCGGCCCATGTCAATGGCCTCAGAGAAAGAAGTAAACCTCCCAGTGAGCAACCCTGCTCCAGGTGAAGCAGATGTTTTCTGGATAACCAATCTGTACCTCAGAAGCTCCCTGGATAAGGCCACGGAAGTGCACACGACCTCCTCCTGGGCCTCATCCTGCCAGCCCAGGGCTCAGGGGCATTGCCACCAACCACAGCTACTCCAGCAAAGTGACTGACTGAAGAATGTCAAAATGAGGGGAGTCTGAAGGGTATTCATGGCAGAGCAGAGACTGAAATGCACCTTTACAGGGTGCCAGCTTCAGGGAGAAGGGAGAAGCCAACAGACTAGGGTGAGCAGTTGAAGACCATTTAAAGAGGCTTGGAAAATGGAGGCATTTTCTTTTGAATGAGTCTTCCAACTTAAGTGGATAACTGGGTCACAAACCATGTTGGACAGCAGGCACACACAAGAATATGTTGTAGAGGGGCAGCGAGGTGGCACAATGAATAGAGCACCAGCCCTGGATTCAGGAGGACCTGAGTTCAAATACAGCCTCAGACCAAACACTTGACACTTACTAGCTGTGTGTCCCTGGGCAAGTCACTTAACCCCAATTGCCTAAAAATTAAAAAAAAAAAAAAAAAAAAGAATTTGTTGTAGAGATTCCCTTTTCTGGTCACTGGAATGGAGCAAGTCCAGGGAATTGGGGAAAGGAGGTGTAATGGCTGCTGGTGAAAACCAGGAAATTCCCCCCGCTCCCTAGCTAAATCGAACCCCCTGAGGAAGTGTTCAAGAAGGAGGGTATGACAGGGAGACCAGAGGAAGATGAAGGGAGAGACAGAGCTGCCACGCAGATGATGGAGAGGACAGGCAGCCGCATCCACTGTTGCCCTGCTTCTGTCTCTGCTCAGGAGCGCTACTGAACTGGAAGGACAGAACAAAGACGGCTAACCCAAGAAAAGTGAGGTGCCGAGAGAAGAGGACCCTGGCCTCCCTGCCGCCAGCAGGAGCAAACAGCATTCTCCGACACTGGCAGATCGACTCTCTGAAAGACCAGAAAATAGGAGAGGCTGCACAGGGCCAGAACACAGCAAACAGACAGGATTTTTTAAAGTCAGAACCTACAAACTATTCAGGTCACTAAGCTTAGTTTTAATTGATGACAAACTCACTGTTCAAAGGCTGATTTGTGAACACAAGCTCTTGGCTAAGTGTCAGCCATGAGGGACCATGCCACGCTGGCCTCAGCTCCAGGAGGACAGGCCAAAGACACAGAGGCCATAAGAAACAGGGAGTCCCTCCAAGCTCCTAATGGGCTCTCTGCTGCCTTCTCTGCCGGGGACAATGTGGGCAGCGGATGAATGCTCTAAATGAGTCAGTGTTGATTTGAAGGGCAGTTTTTAGAGTCGATGAGTAGAATCACAAAACGTGAGAGCTGGAAAGGACCTCAACAGTCAGAGTCCAATCCATACACTAAACCACAGCCCACAAATGGTCAGCCAGCCTCTGCATGAAGACCTCCCTGATCCGTCTCTTCTGGACAGGTCTCGTGTCAGCTTGGTTGTCAAGACGTCTCCCTAGTTACAACTTCTACCCAGAACAATCTAGCCCATTTGACACAACAGCCCTTCAAACGCTAGAGGCCTCCACCGTGCGCCTTCTAAGCCTTCTTTTCATCAGGCCACACGTGCCTAATTCTTTCAACCAATCCTCAGATCGTATGGATTCATGCGCCCTTCATGGCCTTGGTCGTCCTTCTCTGCTTATGCCAGTTTACCAATCTCTGTCTTAAATGATGGTGCCCAAAACTGAAAACGATGATCCAGATAAAGTTGAGACCATGTCTTCTCTGGTGCTATGCTCTGTATCATCAATAACTTGCATGTATGCATAGACGGCACTTTGTCATAGAATTTTAGAACTGGAAGAGACCTCAGCAGTCTCCTAGTCTGAGCCATACCCAAAAGGAACGCCCATTAGAATGTGCCCCCCACCCAGAGACAATCCCTTCCACCTCAGGACAAGTGGAACCGTTCACAAGTTCCTCAAGCCTACACTGACCTCTTTGCCACTTTCACTCACTGCTGTTCTCTCTGGGTCCCCGACACAAATCGAATGCCCCTCCACATGACAGGTACCTTTCTGGGTTAAACACTGCCAGAGCTGTTGATCTTCACTGTGGTGAACTCAGGGCCCTTCCCCTTCCTAAGTGTCACCCCTGAATACCCTACAGTAAGTCAAATTACAACTCAAACAGAGCTGAGCAGGACAGTTAATGGGACAACAGAGCCCTGATCCACACAGATCTTGGAAGGCTAAAATAATGGGCGTGTCCTCTCATTGATGTAGATGCAAATCATAAGCCACGTGGGCCTGTGCATTCCACAGAGGGTCCCCCAACAAGCTTGGGCATTTACACCTTCCTTCTCATGACAGCATGAGGATCCCTGGAGCACAAGGGCTGTCTGGCTGTCCAATGCAGCCACCTGACCAATCCAGCTCTTTACCAATTATACAGTTTACTGATAACATCCTTTACTCCAGCTGCTGAATGGAATGAACGAGTAAGCAATGATTAAGCACCTACTATGTGCAGGGCACTGTATAACTTTTACTTAATGGTAGTAATACTGCTATGCTTAGCTTACAGGGTTGGTGTGCGAACCAAAAGATAAAATGTATGACAAGGATAAGCTATTAGAATGATGATACACCAGAGTAACGTATAGAG